TAAAATAACCTTTATATTCATTAGGTTGGTCTTATAATTAATTTTAGAAGTTATTCCTTAATTTTAGTTAATTAGCTTACTATTTCAAAATAATCCGAAATTAATGTCATAAATTAGAAACTAAGGTATTTTAATAATTAATTAATTACAATAATTAGTAGTGTATTTTATGATTATAATTTCTATCATGTATTATTGGAATTAATTAATTTTAAATAAATTAATTGTAAAGAGGTTAAAAGCTAAAAGCTATAATTGTAATTGCACTCTTAAAACACGAATTGGCCATCTCTTAAATTAAACAGGCCCAATACAGAGGCCCAATGCACATCTGACTCAGTCCAATCAACCGTTCAATCCCTGTTGGCAATCCATGCCACCCTCCCTGAGCCAATCAAACTTCACCACGTCACCGTTCTCAAAGCACTCACACAAGAAGCACACACCCATCTGGGCCGTTAATCCATTTTATAAACGGTCCACATTTTATCTTATTTTTCCTTTAATTTTAACGTTGGCCAGACCCAATCTCCGCCATTGAAACACACGGATTCGACGACTCACATATTTTTTCGAAAAACCTTTTAACACCTGAATTATCAAGGCCGTTGATCAAATGATCCAAGGGCCCAGATCTCCTTCACCCTTATTAACCCTCAGAGACCAGCTTGGTCTATCCAAAACCCTAAATCATTTTACCTTAGACCATCCGCCCCTTTTCCGCTTTTGCTCTCTACTCTCTCTTTTGCCCAGCTCCCATCAATCTTTAAACCTTGCACAAATTTGTGCAAGGTCAAACAATCAACCTCAAATTATCCTTTTTATCCTCTCCAACCGCAAATCCTGCCGGTTTCTTCCCCATTTCATCACACAAATTCAAAAACTCCAAATCCAAACCTTAGCTTAAAAGATGAAACTTCGAGTCTCCAGATTTCTCTTGTGCTCTATCAAATTGGAGCATGCATGAACAATTCTCAAAGCTTCATCATGATTATTCGAGGTCCAGAGGTCAAATGCAATGACCTCTGTACATTGAAGCTTTGTCCGATGAGTTTCGCCTTCACCAGTCAACCTCTCTCCTCTCAGGTAAAAATCCTTATTGATTTGCCTTTGTTTCTTAGATTTTCACTCATCTGATTTCCCTTTGTTTCTTAGATTTTCACTTATCTTGTATCACCTGGTAGTCGTCACTCTCCACTATCATTGTTTGAATCCGTTGAAACCCTAGGCATTGAATGCCACTATAAATACGGCCTTAAATGTTCATACCTAACACAACCTAAGACGAGTACACAATAGCTTACATAATCAATTCACAATAAAAAAACCTAGGTTCTAACTGATTGCTCATCTTTTCTCTCTTTTAGGTTCTGAGATCTATTCACTAGTAATTGTTTGAGTTTGTGGTTCATAAAAGGCTAAAAAGAGTCTTTGTTTGGTTTGCTGCTCAAAGGAAGGTCAGTGTACATCGACCCTTCCTCCCTTTTAATTGTTTAAACTGAAATCGTATATGCTCTGTTATCCTCTATTGATTATCTCTACTTATGATGTGTTATTGTTAGTTTATAATTGATTATCTCTGCTCATAATGTGTTGTTATTAGTTTATGATCGACCATTATGCTTTGGTATTGTTTTCCTTAATAATCTGAAATTAAACCAATATTAGTTAACTACCATTGTAATCTTAATGAATGAACAGTCTATGTGTTGGTTAAAGCTTCTATAACTTTCTAAATAACCTCAATGATCTTCTACACTTGTTCTGACTTTGGATTTCATGATGTTTTGCTAAGACTTTCATGTCTGCTCTAATAACTCTACATTAATGTTATCTATTAATCTGTGTCATGTACTTGAGTCACTTTTCTGATAAAATTAAGACTGTAGTAGTTATGAACACTTAAGGGTTAAAGGATGTCATGGTAGTTAAAGTATATTAGCTTATATTTTCTGAGTTGCTTTCTCTCTTCAAGCATGTTTTTCTGTGATTGTGAGGCCTCTTGAGAGATAAGTGTAAAGGTTTTATGTCAACTTTCTTAACTGTTTGATCACATCTATGAGTTTCACTATATAAAATAATGCCATGAAGTAACTAGACTAAGTTCTAATGAGTTTCTGCAGTTAGTCTTGTGTGTATCTTGTCGTTGCTACCCACCTAGCTTAAGCTATGCCCAGAAACTTGATTAAAGTTGTATTTTTTATGTTTGAGTATCATCTGTTGGGTTGGTTATGTTAAGCTGAACTTCATACTGGCTAAGTTATCTCACTTAACCTGTATAACTGAGCCATGCCTACTTAATATGAAACTTTCATTGTTCTGGGCTTTTATAATGAAACTGTTGGTCTGATCCCATGCTATTTGATACTCAAGCATGTTTGTAATGTTATAATTCTATAAGAATATCTCATGTATGTGTCTAAGTGCCATCTCATTGTTTTTCTGCACTCATCTTGTTCTTAAACAAACATCCTGTTTGTCTTTCATGCCTATGCCTATGCTTTCACTATCACCGAACCTTGCTACGCTTACATAAGTTAACTGTGATTCACCAATGAGGCTTAAGAGAAACCTTCTAATGATTAATTGCCCTTCTTTGAGTGTAATATTGTGCCTTAACTCTTAATAATATTGGTATGAGTATGAGACTAGGAGCTTTTAAAGGGAAAGTGATCATGTCATTTTCTTAAGTTAAGATTGACCTGTCAACTTGCATAAATACCCTTGCTAATTCCTTTAAGGATCCTAAATAAGGTTGTTAACTCAGAAGTTCGGACTTAATCTATGTATATGAATCCCTGATGAACTCAGGCATAGTCTAATAAGTTGTGAAATACTGCAAACTCAATTAAGGACTTCTGTAAACTTGAACTGTGTATCTTCTCTACTTCTTATGTCACATGACTCAATGCTTGAACTTCTAAAATAAGCTGCTAGTGTTCCTTCTCTTTGTTTGTATGTGTAATTGGTTTCTTTGAGCAATACTGAGTATATTGAAGATGTTGACAGTTTACCATACACTTGTGTTTGGATTGTGGTCTCAATGGTGTAATTTGTTGTCTCATGCTCATAATAGTATTCTATATAGTTTCTATGCGAGGTATACATACTTGAATCTCTGTGTTAATGTTACTGTTACATTGGAAAGTTAGAGTAAATGCCTCATTAGCATTTAAGCCTACATGGAAGAGTAAGTGTGAGTGATTAAGGGTATTTAGGAATACGATTTAGTTTGTGGTTGAGATACCCTCCCTGACACAACAACTGCTCGGGGTTCCTGAGACCCTTGTGAACTCTAAAGTGCGAGGGATCCAAAGGGTGTCTTGGCCATGAATGAAATTTTACCTTATGCTCTTAATCATTGACATTTATTAATCTCTTTAGGATTAGTTCTAAATGAAAGAAAGGCTTCATTGTGAATTTGTTTACTCTATTTGACCTTACATTAGTTTTATTGCCTTCTTAATCACCAGCACTTGTTAGAGTTTAATTTGGGCCTTACATTGGTCTTATTTGTATTTAAGTATTATATTGGGCTCTATCTCTAATGTCTTCCTTTCTTGTTTGCACATATGATTGAACTGAGCCTATTGAGTTCTCAAGAACTAAGGCCCAAATTCCAGCCCTGAGTCTGAAGTCACTGAAGCTTCTGCTGCTAATCGTTACTTGTTAGGCCTAACATTCTTCAGACTCAAACTATGAGTCCAATTTCCCTTCCTTTATCACTTTACATAAATTTGTTGTTGCTCTTATGTGTATATGACACTGACAATATTAAGTGAATGCCTTTTCTTTTATCATCTTTGAATTACTTTAAAAACATAGACAAGCTAAAAATCATAGGTAACTAAAAAAAATTACTATCTCTTACATTAGTTAAATAACTTCAAACATACTTAGTTACTTCTTCTATATGAATTTCATCCTCACTCATGCTAACCATTTTTTGGAAGTTCTTTTTAAAGTTTAAAACAGATTTGAAAGTGAGCAACACTCCTTTTAAAAGTTGGAATTGAAAACGATTTTAAAAATCAAGTTTTTCTACAAAATAAAATGCGACTGCAATCAAGGATACCTCAATGAGTCTTTCTTCTGAAAATTGATACAAGATTTGATCAGCTTTTAAGGTATACCTAAACCCACTTTTCTAATAGCCTTTAATTTACTAAGGTTACACAGATAGCTATTTTATTTCAAAGGTAAAGTATTTTAAATTTAGCCATATCTTACAAAGTTTGCAAGTATTAACATTATGGAAATACTTTCTAAAGTCCTTTCAATCATATAGATATAAACATTTTAGACTTTATGAAACCTATACTCTTTTCAATGCATATACTATCCTTCTTTCAAAACGATAAGCTTTAAATAAGACATAGAGTAAGTTATACACTTTTAAGCACTAATTAAGTAGAATATAGATATTTAATTCCCTAAACCTAGTCTAAGTCCTATGGAGCTACCTTAGGTAGATTCTAGGGGGTGCCTAACATCTTCCCCTTAGAAGAACAAGAACCCTTACCCAAATCTCACTAGTTAGCAGACTAATAGGATAATGATTTAACAACTGAATAGGTATCCTAGTATACCTTTAAATATTAGGTTACAACTCTCTTTCATCATCAACATAGAAACCATTAGTTGAATCTTGTTTTGACTCATGCAAAATAGTGTGCAACAATCGCCAGCTGAACAAAGTCACCATGAAAAATAAGTACCTATTGCCGTGAATTAATGATTTGATTGATCAGCTACAGGGTGCTAGAGTTTTCTCGAAGATCGACTTGAGATATGGGTATCATCAGCTCAAGATTTGTTCTTTGGATATTTCAAAGACGGCTTTTCGGACTAGATATAGGCACTATGAGTTTCTAGTGATGTCCTTCGGCTTGACTAATGCCCTGACAACGTTTATGGATTTGATGAATCGGGTGTTCATGCCATATCTTTACTCATTTTTCATTGTATTCATCGATGACATATTGATCCACTCGCGTAGTATGGAGGAGCACGCACAACATTTGAGGATAGTGCTTCATACCTTGCGGGAACAAAAGCTATATGCTATGTTCTCCAAATATGAGTTGGGGCTAGATTCTACGGCTTTCTTGGGGCATGTTGTATCAGGTGTGGGTATTATGGTGGATCCCAGGAAGAACGAGGCAGTTCAGAGTTGGCCTTTTCCTACCACAGTGATCGAGATCATGAGTTTCTTGGGGCTAGCCGATTATTATCGCCAGTTTGTGGAGGGTTTCTCGTCTATTGCAGCTCCTTTGACTAGATTGACTCAAAATGGTGCTCAGTTCTTATGGTCCAATGATTGCAAGGTGAGCTTTCAGAAGCTTAAGACAACATTGACTACAACACCAGTGTTGGTTTTGCCCTCCATTTTGGGGATGTATACTGTGTATTGAGATGCTTCACGCGTTGGTTTGGGTAGTGTATTGATGCAGGAGAGGAGAGTTATTGCATATGCTTCACATCAACTAAATCCCCCCAAGAAGCATTATCCTGTGCACGGTTTGGAGCTGACTGCAATAGTTCATGCCCTCAAGATCTGGAGGCATTATCTTTATGGGGTGTAGTGCGAGGTTTACACCAATCACTGCAGTTTGCAACATTATTTTAAGCAGAAGGACCTTAATTTGAGGCAGCGTAGGTGTCTTGAGTTACTGAAGGACTATGATGTTACCATCCTCTATCGTCCAAGCAAGGCGAATGTGGTCGCGGATTCCTTGAGCAGAAAGGCCAAGAGTATGGGTAGTTTGACATTCATTTCAGTGGAGGAGAGACCATTAGCTTTGGACATCCAGTCTTTAGCTAACCGACTTATGAGGTTGGATATTTCAGAGCCTAGGTGAGTTATTGCATATGTTGTGGCTTGGTCTTCTTTATTCGAGCATATCAAGGCTCGTCAGTATGATGATCCAAACTTGATGGTCCTTAGAGAGACGGTGCTAGACGGTGATGCCAAGGAGGTTATGATCAGTGATGATGGTGTTATGCGACTCCAGGGTCACTTATGTGTTCCTAATGTTGATGGCCTGAGGGAGACAGTTCTAGACGAGGAACATAGTTCATGTTATTCTATTCATCCAAGTTCCACAAAGATGTATCATGACCTGAGGCAACATTACTAGTGGCAACAGATAAAGAAGGACATAGTTAGGTATTTGGCTAGATGTCTGAATTGCCATCAGGTTATGTACGAGCACCAGAGGCCAGGTGGCCTACTTCAGTAGATGGTAATACTGGAATAGAAGTGGGAGCGCATCACTATAGAATTTGTGGTTGGTTTGCCGCAGACGTTGAGGAAATTTGATGTCGTTTGGGTCATTGTCGACAGATGGGACAAGTCTGCACACTTTATTCCGATGATGACTACTTACACTTCAGAGAGGTTGGCCCGGATTTATATTCACGAGATTGTCTGGTTACATGGCATGCCTATTTCCATCGTTTTACATAAAGGCACTCAGTTCACTTTACATTTTTGGAGAGCTGTACATAGTAAGTTACGTACCCAGGTAGAGCTCAGCATGAACTTTCCCCCGCAGACCGATATGCAGTTGGAATAGACAGTTCAAATTCTGGAAGATATGCTCAGAGCATGTGTAATTGACTTTGAAGGACAGTGGGATCGATTCTTACCGTTGGCCGAGTTTGCTTATTACAACAGTTATCAGTCCAGCATCGAGATGGCTCCATTTGAGGCCTTGTATGATCGGCGATGTCATTCCCCCATCGGTTAGTTTGAGAATGGGAATGCTAGGTTATATGATACTGATTTGGTAAAGGATGACTTAGATAAGGTAAAGTTGATTCAGGAGCGACTTTGCATAGCACAGTCCATACAGAAGAGTTACACGGATCATAAGGCACGTGATTTATCATTTATAGTGGGCGAGAAGGTTCTCTTGAAAGTCTTGCCGATGAAGGGTATCATGAGGTTCAGAAAGTGGGTCAAGTTGAGTCCGAGGTTCATCGGTCCATTCGAGGTGTTGGATCAAGTTGGAGAGGTTTTATACATGTTTGCTTTGCCTCCTAGAGTATCAGGAGTTCATCTGGTATTCCATATTTCTATGCCTCAGAGGTACCATGCCAACAGGTCACATGTGTTGGATTACAATACAGTGCAACTTAATGAGAGCTTGGGTTATGAGGATGAGCCAATTTCCATTATTGATAGGTAGGTCCACCAGTTGACGTCTAAGAAGATCTCAATAGTGAAGGTCCAGTGGAGAGGCCGACCAATTGAGAAGGCAACTTGGGAGACCGAGGAGGACATGCAGATCAAATATTCACACTTATTTGGACCTTCACGTATGATTCTAAACGCGTTCCAGGATGAACATTTGTTTAAGAGGTGGAGAATGTAACAACCCGACCGGTCATTTTGCTTTCTAGATTCCCCTATTTAAGACTTATCGTATGTGCTTTTACTGTTTCATGACTTGCGGGGATGGTTGGTTTGGTTATGAAAGGGTTCAAGTTGAATCCGGAATACTTAGTTCCATAATAGTGGCCTAAGGTGGCCAAGTTTGACTTGAGTTAACATTTTGCATAAACGACCTCAGAATTAGGATTTGAAGGTTCCAATAGGTTCGTATGATGATTTAGGACTTGGCCTATGTTCGGATCGAGTTTCAGGTAGACCGGGAGCATTTCAGCGCTTATTGTTGAATGTTGGCATCTTGAAAGTTTTAGAATTTCCTAAGTTTGATTTGAAGTGGACTTTGGTGTTATCTATATCCCTTTATGATTCCGAGCCTTGGAATAGGTAAGATTGTGATTTGCGACTTGTGCGTAAAATTTGGCGTCATTCTGAGTTGTCTAAGTATGTTTTGTCACGTTCGGAGTTGATTGAAATGAGTTTGAAGTTTAGAAGATGATTAATTTGGTTTTGAGGTGCGATTCTTGGTTCTGATGTTTATGTTTATGGATTTGTTGGTACATTTGGACGAGGTTCCGGGTTGCTCGGGTGTGTTTCGAACCACCCAAAGCAAAGTTAAAGTTGGCTGAAATTGCTGGTATGCTTCGCGACCGTGAAGGTAGTCCCGCAATCATGGAGGATCTGGTTTCTCTTTGCGAACGCGGATCCCCTTTCACGAACGTGAAGAAGGGAGGGGTTGAGTTGGGCTGGAAGGTTATTGGTCTTCGGGAACACGACTGGGGGATCGCGACCGCGGAAAGCTAGGAGATGGTGCATTGTGAACGCAACCGATCTGTCGCGAACGTGAAAGGAATTTTCGGTCAACTAGAACAGTTGGTCTTCGTGACCGCGAGGGACCTTTCGCGGTCGCGAAGAAGAAATCCCTGGGCAGACTACTTTTTATTTTGGGACTTAGCCCATTTCTCTCACATTTTTACTTGGTTTGGACGAATTTAAGAGCTCTTTTGAGGGGGATTTTAATCAACATCACAAGGTAAGTGAATTCTACTAATTCTTGAGTTAAATACATGGATTATTGTTAGATATTTTGTAGTCGACTACTTTACCAATCAATTTTTAGCTATCATGATGCTTTTCGTAGTTTGTTTTGATATTTTGTAACTTGCGGGGATGGTTAGGCTGGTTTCGGGAAGGTTTGAGAGTAAATTGGAACACTTGGTTCCATTTTTGGAAGCTTTAGTTTTAAGAGTTGACCAATGTTTAACTTTTGAGTTGACGACCTTAGATTGGTGATTTGATGGTTTCAATAGGTTTACTTTGGGGTATATTCGGATTAGGATTTAGAGGTCCCTAGAAGGTTTTGGTTCTATTTGTTGAAAGTTGGCCATGTGAAGAATTAGAGAGTTCACATGTTTGATCGAAAGTTGACTTCAATGTTATTGGACTCCGATTGTACTTTTGAGACCTTGGATGTTCCCCAATAGTTGATATTAACTGGTCTGCAAAGTTTGATTGTGATCCAGAATGTTTAAGTATGATTCGAACGCGTTTGGCAAAGTTGGAAAGTTTGGAAGTTAAGGAATGGATTTTGATATTTTATTCTTAGATTTGATGTTATTTGTGGTGTTTCGGGTCTTTGTATAAGTTTAAATTAGGTATATGAACTTGTTAGTATGATTAGAAAGGGGTCCTGGGGGCCCGAGTGTGTTTACGGATGATTTCGGATTATTTATGAGTTGTTTGAAATTTTTTGGTATCTGGTGCGTCGCACCTGCGATGATTATGTGCTCATGTGCGAAGGGCGCACCTACGGAGTGCTTGTCGCATTTGTCAGGTTGGGTTGGATAGGCTGTAGTCGCATCTATGACTCTAGGGACTACAGATACGAAAGACGCACCAGCGGAAGGAGGGTCACACCTGCGCATGGGTACTGGGAGCGGGAAACTCGCAGACGCAGAAGGCGAAGCACATCTACAAAGGTCGCACAAGCGGGTATGTGTAAGGCCCCATAAAAGTTTTCCTAAAAACCGGGATTTCTGTGATGCCGAAATAGGCGTAAAGGTTAATAGTAGTAGAAATTCTTCGCGGTGAGCTTGCTCTCCGCGGTTTAGACTTTTTGGATTGAACAGTGCGCTGGGGAGTTGAAGAAAATGTTGGGCTGAAGTAGGCATTTCTGCGGCCTATTCTGCGACCGCAGAACAACTCTGCGGGCTGCAGAATGGCCGTAGAGTGGGTCAATTTTATGGGTCATTTTGATGTCAAATTTCGCGGCCATTATGCGACCGCATAACCACTTCGCGGCCTGCACTCTTGTCGCATATCCCGCTTTGTGCATTATGTGACCGCAGACCGGGTCAGTCACGCCTAGTTTTGGGGGCCAAATTATGCGGCTGATATGCGGACCGCATATCAATTATGCGATCGCAGAACCTTTTCCGGAACTTTATTTTTGGGGTTTTAAAACCCGACCCTATTACGTTAAAATACCTATCTTGGGCCATTTTGAACTTATTTTCTGATATTTTTAGAGTGAGAGAGAGGGTCCAAGAGGGAGAAAGTGATCTTCATCAAATTGTTCTTCAATTCTCACTTAAAACCTTGAAGATTATCATGTGAGGCACCTAGGTCTTCTTCCTAAGAGGTAAGATTCTATCACCCAAACTCTTAATTTCAAAATGTAACTAGAATGGGCCATTAGTAAGGTAATTCATGGGGACGGGAGTGCTGACCTTGCATGCATGTGTTCCTTAGGTATGTGGGGAGGCTGTGAGTTAAAGATAGAAAATAATGGAGTGTGGGTTGGTGGAGTCTTTCATAAAAAGGGCCATGAAACCTTAATACACATATAGTGTTTGATAGAATGCTCAAGTGAGCTAGAATTATGAACGTTTTCCTAATTTTGGGTTCAATTTTTCTATATTGCTAAAATATATTGAAGTTGCTAATATCCCGGAACGTCTTAGAGTATTAAGAGGCTCAATTGAGGTATGTTGGCTAAACCCCCTCTTCTTAGAATTGAATCCCACGGTATTCATGCAATCGACGTAAGTCCCAAATTGAACGTCCTAGAAATTGCTATCCCGAATGTGCTCGCTTTGCAAATATATGTGTAATATGTAATCCCATGCTTTCTTCGTGTTATCTCATCATCTGAGAAAATGTTCAAGACTTAGAATATGTGCTAATATGCCTAGACTTCATTTCAAATTCGATTAAAGACTGTTATGCCAAATTGTGTAAAAAGCCTCTATGTGCCTTGAATTCTAAATTGCTCATATGTGAAATCAAGAGTATTGAATGAAAACTGTGTTGTCATTGATGATAATAATAATGTTGGATTGTGGAAAAGAACTCGTATTATGAAATAAGGCCAAGTTCCAAGAACGACTTTATAATTAAAGCTACTTGTGCCAATGTACAGAAAAGATGGGAAAGAAATATGAAGTAAGATGATTGATTGAAAGTGGTTGATGTCTCGAATGAGATGGCTTAGCCGATCAGGCCGAGATCGGACTCCGTGTAACAACCCGGTTGTATTGTGGGTGAAATTATGAACATGGTTGATGTCTCAAATGAGATGGCTTAGCCGATCAGGCCGATATCAGACTCCGTGTAAGAATACGATGGTATTATGGACTGTGGTATATTGGCACTAAAAAGCTATGTGACCCTTAACTTGATGTTTTAATATTATTTGAAGCTCTTATTGAATTCTTGATTGTTCTTCTTGTATTATTATTCATTCTATTGAGATGGTGTTTGGTTATACATACTAGTACTATTCGACAGTACTGACGTCCCTTTTGCTGTAGGCGCTACATCTTTAAATGGATGCAGGTGGTTCCATAGCAGACAGTGTTGATCACAAATAGGTGCTGCATTATCTTCTCAGCGGACTCGGTGAGCCCCATTTCATCCGGGGTCATGTA